GCTAATTAAATTTGTTATGGCCCAATAAGAGTATTTTATTTCATTCTAGGCCCATTATGGCCCAAAATGTTAAAATCAATGAAAGTGGGTCCAATTAGAGCCCATTTAAGAGTTCTAAGCCCAAAATAGTCAAATTGGAAGCTTATTGGTCCATTAGGCCCAATAAGAAAATCCTAGTCCAAAATGGACTTGAACCGGGATTTTTAGGGTTTCCAACTTTTGTTGACTATTTGAAAGTTTGTATAGGGTATTTGATGGGATTTTTGTTGTCATTGAATAAACACCATACATGTTTTCTAGTTTTAGCCAGAGTGTCATTCTTTGTTAAGTGTTTTACAAGGTATCAGAATTCCTGGTTGTGACACTTGGGTATTCCAACCCGATGGTTGATTGGACCCATAGTATGTTGTTTTGTTGTATATGTTATATGTTGTGTGTTGGTACTTTAGGGGAAACTCACTAAGCTTCATGCTTATAGTTTTTGGTTTATGGTTTCAGGTGTTTCAGAGATTCGTGGTAAGGTGAAGGCGTGAACGTACACATCCTGGTTATATGTCATTAACCTTGGGTGGCACTGATTTTCAAATAATGTTTCGAGAACACTATTTTTGTAAACATTTTATTAGTAAAAGGACCGTTTTGAAAAGTTTAAAATTGTTGAAATTTTTGGGGAGGTTACATATGATGTGGATAAACTATATTAGAGCATGATGCAAGGTGTCTTTTGTGCTAGAGTTTGACTCATAGAGACCTGATTCTAACCATTGCATCATGTGATTGAAGGTCATTAGAGCATGACCCTTCGGTCTGTTACGGTAGCCGAAGTAAAGACCTTATCATGGATTGAGAATGTTTAAGAATGAGCATGAGTCTCCGATGAAAATCGAGTTTGTAAATTCGAAGGTTAGGATTGAAGGTCCAACATATAATGAAGAGCGGGTGCAAGTTTGAGCACCACCAGCAGCTAAGAAGTCCAAAAGCTTTATGAGGAAGGCATGCGAGTTATGGTTATAGCTTAGGATGGAAAAGTGACTTGCAGGATCATCATCCATCCCTGTTTTGTTGATAATTTTGGGACGTAATTATCCTAAGGGGGAAGTAATTGTAATGCCCGTGAATTCGGGCTAGACATGTAATATATAGTAAATAATCTTAGCTAAAGATGTAGTAGTCGTAATTACTATCTCGTGGATATAAGGATCACTTAAATCCGACCTCGCATGAAGAAGTTATGCTTCTTTGCAATTTCGCGTTCAGCTCTATACGACAAAGCATGTCGTTAAAGTGAATTGAAGATATTTTGTTTATTATCCTAAGTAATATAAATGAAAATCATAGTAATCGTAAAAGCGAGACCGTGCATATAGAGAACGTCCAAATTTGACTTCATATGAGGAAGTTATGATATTTTGAAGTTTCAGCGCAAAACAGTGTGGACACCAAAATCGAAATTAAAATTGGTTGATTGTTAGGCAAAACAATGTAAACGAGAGTTGAAGATCTCGTAAATATGAACCCGTCGATATAAAGACAGTCGAGAACGGAATTTGTATGAAAGAGTTATGATTTTTATTCGGGTTTTAGCGATCTAAGCCCTTTAAAAATATATAATTAAAACTAAATTGGGAATTAGCCGACTGAGTCTAAATCAAATTAGTAGTACTCGTCAATAGCTACATGTGCTTATAAAGAACGTCGAAAACGGAGCTCGTATGAGAAAGATGTGATTTTTACAAAATAATTAAAAATTCGCTTGCACGACACACACTGTTTTTAGAAGGTGGGATGCGACCCACCCGAATTTCGACATGTGGCAGTGAAACATAGGAACGAAGTAGCAGAAAGGCGCGAAACACACCTTGGATAGGCGCGACACGCCTGGAAAAAAATTCCCTATAAATTGAGGTTTTCAACCTTACTTCTTCCTCACACCTTCTCTGAATTATCTCTCGGTTCCTAAGGCCCGATTTTGAGGTCTTTCTTCGAGGTTTCAGAGAATCATTGTTTAGCAAAGCTCTAGGTGTCAGATAGTCTGGAAATTAGAAGCTTTTGGGTCGAGATTCTGCCGACGACTTTCTCAGTTTTCTCTGAAAATTTTTGTAAGTTAAGTTGCACTTATTATACTTCAAGTGTAACTTATATTTATATTCATAGTCGTTATTTTGAATCTATAAATAAGATTTATCAATGATTCCAGTCATAATACTGATTGATCTACTTACGGAAATGATCTCTATGCTAGTTTAGTGAGATGTTTAAAATAGGATTTCTAAACAGTATAATCTGTATACCAAATAGACTCTACCTCTGATATGATCTTAGCTGATTGTTCCTTATCAGCTATAGATCAATATGCATTGGGATCATTAAGGAATCTAGACCGTCGTTATTATAGTCACGAAGAATATAATACTAAGACTTAGTGATAACTATATCTAGGTCTTTTCAAATGAAAAACTAAGGTGTTAGGCGGAGCGCTGCCCAAATCACCATTCATCCACTTTTAACAAGTGAGTGCATAGTTACTTTCAAATTAAACATAAATACATATATTTTAAATGCTTAAATGTTATGTGTGTTGTTTAGTTGTGTTCCATATATTGAACAACATGATATGGTTATTACTTGGTTAAAAGTATTTTATTTTACTTTCTTAATGCATTTTTAAATTTATGTCTTTAATATTTAATATTTATCTATAATATTAAATAGATAAATAAAAATATTGTTTTCTAAAAATTTATTATTTAAAAATATGAAGCAATAGTATATTGTATTGTATAAATGTTAAAAGCATTAAAAGAAATGTTATAAGCATTAAAATAAAAGAACAAAAATAAAAAAGACGTGGCTTACCACTTAGGCTGGAGAGAGTGGTGTCGCACACCCTCATGAAACCGCAGTGACACGTAGGCGTCACCTCATCTATTACCACAAAAGTGTGGTTTCATACCACACCCAAGGAATGGTGCCACACTTGGGTATTTTTTTTTATTTTTTTTAATAAATAAAAGGGACCAATCAGAGGGAGGTAAGAAAAATGAACCAATCACGTTGTTTGAAGGAGTGCTCCCTTGGAATGTCGCACTGTACCCTCTACCGCACCTAGGGGGCGGTGTTTGTGCTTATGTGGTAAGGGGAGTGCGGCCTCAGCCGCACCCACTCCCTCTAGCCTTATCACACCATCTTATGGTGTAGTGTTCACCCACCTCCTATAGTGTTATATCACCTCATGGTCGAACCTAAGAAGGGGAAGCTATAATATGACATTGTTTTTTCTTTAAATAGAATACATATTTAACTTACTTCTTATTAGTTAAGAAAAAGATGTGACACGTATATATCTTCTGTTCGATTCTTGTTACCAATGTTTTCTTATACATATGTTTATTCTGTAATTATATGTATATATCACGTATTCCTGTGAAATCAGTGGCGGACGCAGAAAGTTGTCACAGTAGTAGCACAATTTTTTTTCGTCCGAATATAATAACATAAAAAAACTTAAAAGTACTAGTACATCAAATCGATCCATTACATCTTAATATCTAAATTTGACATCTACGGGTACACATTTTTTGAAACCGATCCATTACATCTTCGATCTTCACTTTCATAAGTGCTTCTTTTTCAACATAAGAAATCATGGCATCGTTCAAAAAATCATCACCTATTTTGTTACGCAAATCCGTCTTCAAAATCTTCATCGCTGAAAAACATCTTTCGACCGTTGCGGTTGCAACGGGTAAAAACCAAAACCAACTTCAACAACCTATAAACCATAGGATAAGACCGATGTTTCCCCGTTTCCACCATCAAACGAGAAAGGTCGGAAATTCCTTGCAAACTAGTGAACCGGTCATCTTTATGCAAAGCGTGAGAATATATTTCAAGTTCACCATCAAGTTGCATCCTCTCCGCATCATCAAAATCTTTTGTGTATAACTCACTCAATTTTAACAACTTTGTTTTGTCAAATTTAGCAAATGAATCACAAGGACTCAAAGCCCCCATGTATTCTAGTAATTGGGTGCTAAGTTCACTAAATCGGTCCCCGAATTCTATAATTTGCATATCCATGACGGTGTTGAAAATTTCAACTTCAAAATGAAATTGATTAGTAACTTTAGTCTTACGGCCTCTTGATGTGACATAATTTTCCGTCATCTCCACAATATTAATATCATGTTTTTGACAAAAAGAGAATACCTTCGATAAAAGTTTAGCAAACCCCATGTCTCTTAAAGACTTCAATGCGTCCATTGTCTCTCTAACCAAAGAAGCCGCTTCTAAAATATCTTAATCCTTTTTTTTGAAGATGCTTTGACAATACGTTCGTGAGGTGTAAAATTTCATACATCAAATGTAAGTAAAACACGAAATCTAATGTCTTGAAATATTTTAAGATACCAAATGCTTGATTTCGGTTACTTAAAGTGGATCCTTCCTCTTTGCCACTGTGTGAAATATAACCAAAACATATGCCTAGTTCAATGGTTAATACATAAGGGGGTATGCATCCCATATCGCCCAAAAAAAACATCCATCATCCATACCTCTACAAATTGATTTATCATCTTTCAATAGGGTTGCAAGAGATTCCGATTGGGTTCAGGTTTAAACCAAGAAACCAAACCGATGAGCTTTGATTTGGGTTCGCTTCAATTTTAAATTATTTGAAAAACAATTATTTAGAAACCCATGTTATTGATTTGGGTTTGGTTTTATATCGAAACCGACTCAAACCGATTCATACATACCCCAAATTTTACCAAACAATTTTATACAAATGAAAATCAGATAGGAGATTGAAATTTTCAGCTACCTTTTTTTTGGAAGATACCCTATCATATCACTTTCTCCATGAGGGAAAAAAAAATCTTTCTTCTTCAATTACCTTTATTTAATCTCCAAAAAGAAACAAGAGTGTTTGACGGGTTAATCTTTCATTTTTATTGGCCCACACAGAGTCTGTATCTATATAGCATATACTAATATACGTACTATATATACACACATTCTGTATCTATTTTTCTCTATAGTAGACAACCATTGATTAGAGCAAACGGCTATAATTTAGAGGCTCGAATTGAAAGCATTATCGTAGCACGAGCCCCTGAAATTTTGGTCGGATTTTCAGGACACTTCACTTCGTTATTACTAATATACGTACTATATATACACACATTCTGCTGATTTCTACAACAAAAGAGAAGAAAGAATTAGCCCTCATGTTCTTAGAGGGCTCAAATCAGCATTTCCTAATCCTCCGATTGTTTGATTTGAGCCCTCGTCATGCCTGATGGTTATTCATCTTCCAAAAAGAAGACGGATGACTATTGGGACAACGTCTGTAGTCAGGTTTGTTTAATCTTCATCAATTTCATCTCAATTTGTTTCGATTTTGGGGGTTTTGATTGATTTGTTAATTGGGATTTTCAGGAGGTAAGCAGAATGGGTCGAATTCGTTGCATGATGCAAACCCTGGATCTACGGACGCTTGTTGTATTATTTATAGTGATACCAATTGGTTTCGTGGGTATTTACTTCCATGGACAAAAAGTAACTTACTTTTTGAGACCTTTATGGCAATCTCCCCCAAAACCTTTCGTTCACATTCCTCATTACTATCATGAAAACATTTCAATGGCGTCGCTCTGCAAACTCCATGGTTGGGAAGTCCGTGATTACCCTCGGAAAGTATACGACGCTGTTCTCTTCAACAACGAGGTCGACATGCTTACAATCAGATGGAAAGAACTCCACCCTTACATCACTCAATTTGTTCTTCTCGAAACGAATTCCACCTTCACAAGCATCCCGAAACCCCACTATTTCTCCATCAATCGAGAAAAATTCGATTTCATTGAACCTAGATTAACCTACGGGACAATCGGCGGACGATTTAGAAAGGGGGAAAATCCGTTTATCGAAGAAGCTTATCAACGAGTGGCACTCGATCATCTTCTCAGAATCGCCGGGATTGAAGATGGTGATTTGTTGATAATGTCGGATGTCGATGAAATCCCGAGTGCTCATACCATCGATCTTTTGCGATGGTGCGACGGACCTCCGCCGGTGATTCATCTGAACTTGAACAACTACTTGTATTCCTTCGAATTCAACGTCGATCATGACAGCTGGAGGGCCTCCGTTCACCAATATCAAAAGGGGAAAACGAGATACGTTCATTACAGACAAACCGACTACTTGTTAGCGGATTCAGGGTGGCATTGTAGCTTTTGCTTCAGAAAAATCAGCGATTTCGTGTTCAAGATGAAAGCGTATAGCCATACAGATCGAGTGAGATTTTCGCACTTTCTTGATCCGAGAAGAATTCAGAATGTGATTTGCAATGGGGATGACTTGTTCGATATGCTTCCTGAGGAGTACACTTTCAGGGATATTATCTCAAAAATGGGTCGGATTCCTCATTCTTATTCGGGTGTTCATCTTCCTTCTTATCTATTGAATCATGCCGATAAGTATAAGTATCTTTTGCCTGGGAATTGTGTTCGTGAAGCTGTTTCAGGATAATATTAGTGTAATTTTTTTTTCTAGATTTAAGGGTTTTAATGATACATAGAGTTTTTTTTTTTTTAAGTACCTTTTTTTTAAACCTTTTGGGGTGATTTAGTTGTATATTTTTTTCCCCTGTACGGCGTTCTGGTATTGTTTCACCAGAACGCAGAGATGTTATATAATATTTGATTTGTAGATTGAATTATTATTTCAATAGCATTAATTTCTTTTGCTCATAAAGGGTTTGTTAGCATTTGAGATTTCCAATTGATATTATATCGGTTTCTTATGTCATTGGTCGTAATGTAGCAGACTGTTGTGTATCTGTTAATGTATCTGAAACTTAGGTTTCATATGCTTTAAGGTGTTGTACCTTATGTAGTCGAAATGGTAATGTTTTTTTGGATAATTGTTGTGTACTTGATTTATTTCGTATATGATACTTTTGGGTAGGACAATATTGGCGAACTCGGGATTAGGTTACTTGGATAGTAACGTGTCTCGTATGCTTTCGGGTGTTGTAACCAATGCAGTGGAGGTGGTACATGATATTGAACAAAAATGTGTTGGTGTGGCTTGTACCTTACAAGTTGTGGAAATTTTATTTTTCTGGATGAATTTTTAGTGGTATGCATGTTGTTTCAAGTCAACTTGTATGTGGGTGATGATTAAAAGCTATGTGTATAGATAATGATAAATAAAGACGGGTTCTTTGTGGGATTTTCCAAATGGGTTTATGGAAAAAGGGCACTTTTTCTATGTGATGGATGGTGGACTTAGGAAAGACTCAAAGAAGTCTTCTTCTTTTTTTTTTTCTCACCACACAACTAATTTTTTGTCTGATTTCTGATTTTAATATTATTTGATACGGCTTTTAATATGATGTGGATATACCATCCAACATGCCTAGCATAAGTATAAAACATTTGAACAAAACAAAACAAAGTTAAACATAAAAGCCAAACCTTAGATTTTATTATACACATCGGGTTTTAGATTTAGGAAAGAGTAAATTACACGAATGGTCCCTATGGTTTGGGGTAGTTCGTATATTTGGTCCCTAACTTAATTTTTAACTCGGAAGGTCCCTACAGTTTGTTTTTGTTGCATGTTTGGTCTCTGTCTTACCTAAAAAGACTATTTTGCCCTTGATTTTTTTAATTGATTTAAATAAAGTGGGATAGATAAGGTAAGGTAAGGTGATGTGGAAGTAGGGTTGGAGTGTGTTTATTTGAATAAATTAAAAAAATCAAGGGCAAAATAGTCTTTTTAGGTAAGACAAGGACCAAACGCACAACAAAAACAAACAATAGGGACCTTCCGAGTTAAAAAAATAAGCTAGGGACCAAACGTACAAATTACTCCAAACCATAGGGACCATTCGTGTAATTTACTCTTTAGGAAACCTAGAAACCAAACTAAAAGGCCACATGTTATACTAGGAAACCGGGCTATAATCCGGATGGGTTAAAGTATGATTGAACTTAGTGTAGATCGGCCCAAAGAGAAATTATTGGTGGTCCAGCTATATTCCCATTGTATGTGATGATATTTGTTCAATAATGAAAAGACAAAAGAATTGGAGTAAAACCTTGTCACCTTTCATTACCACATTCCTTTTTGTATAAAACAAAGTAGTGAACGTGCTTATGAATTGAATTATCACTAAGGGTCAACTTCACTATTTAGCCAAGGCTATCTCATTTTGTTGTTTCAATCTTTAATCTTTGAAATGTATTTAATAGATTATTAAAAAATTCAATGTGTTTTCAATTATATAATTGAGATCGATTTTAACCTATAGAAGCATGGTTTGGCATCATAAATTACTTGTAATTAATGGATTATCCGGTTTAGTTTTTTAATGTGGCGTCAACTTTGGAAAATTTTTATTAGACTATCTACATGATGCTGATATGTTTGTATATATGGACTTTTTATTTAATCTTTTATTTATTAAGTAAATTTATATTTTGGTCCTGAGTATGAGTATAGTTGGTCTTTTATAATTTTGGTACCAAAACATTTATATTGTAGATTTGATCCTCCTTATTTGAGGTATTTGTAAAAGTAAATTACGAATTTGGTCCATGTGATTGTGATATGTATCTTTGTGCACGTTTGGTTTTACTTTTCAAAAATTGATGCCAAAGATCCGTAGGTTTTCAAATCCATCAACTTTGGTCCTTAAGATAATTAGCGTTAGTCTCATTCCGTTAAATGCTTGTAAAATAACAAGATTACTCTCACACCACTACCATCCAACTTAACTTCTTCTCCCAATTTATGACCTTCATCTTCAAGAACACTTCAAATTTCTTCCGTTTCTAATTAATAAATTCAAATGGAAACAACTGATTTTCATTGTATCAGTGAAAAAATAAAGATCGTTAGAACTTAAATCTTTATCAAATTCAACCAAACTAGAGGTGCGCATGGGTTGTTTTGGTTCGGTTTTGACCTAAAACCGAATCCAAAACCGACAGCAATGGGTTTTAAATAATTAAAAGCCAACACAAACCCATCAGTTCGGTTTCTAGGTTTTTCATTTCTTCTCGATTCGATTTTAGGTTTAAACCCAAACCCAATCGAAATCCCATGTAATTCTTTGAAACATGATGAATCATTTTATAGAAGTAAGAAGGGAGGATGTTTTCTTACCAGAGCGATGTGGGATGATGTGTTAAATAACAGTGAAAATAAAACAAATGAAACGTAGGAAATGTGTTTCAAACTTACGACCTCAAGGAAGACAAAATCGTGCCTTTACTACTACACCAAGTTTCCATTTGTGCTTTAAACCCACGAACACGTATATAAACACACATAATTCATAGAATATATACATTTCACAAAATTCGATTTCGTTCGGGTTTTCTCAATTTTTATATTTTATAAAGGAAAAACTGCAATAAAGTCCTTACATATTGGCCTCATAATCGATTTAGTCCTTATATATTTTTTTATTCAATTAAGTCCTCAAAACCAGTAATCGTATTCAATTTAACACTTTTACAAGATCAACATGTCATCCAACTTTCAAAAGTTATATTTTTGGCCCAGATTTCAAAATTTATTACAAATTTAGTCTAAAATTTACATTTTTGGCCTAGATTTTAAATTTTATTACAAATTTGGTCCAAAATTTACCCTTTTGGCCCAAATTTTAGAATTTTGTTATGAATTCATCCTAACTTTAGTTATTTTTTACAACTTTTTTTCTCAAAATTTTGTTTGGATTATGTTTTTTTATAAAATCATATTTATACAAAAAAACATATTTTCACATAAAAAATATTATATTTTCTATATAAAAACTTTTTTTTAAAAAACTATTTTGTATACAAAATACCTATTTATAAAAATAGGTATTTATTATGTACATAAATATATACAAATCCTTTTTTATAAAAAAAATATATAAAAACATGTATATTACAATATATATATATATATATATATATATATATATATACACACACACACACACACACACACACACACACACACACACACATATATATATATATATATATATATATATATATATATATATATATATATATATATATATATAAACCTATTTCGTAGTAAACGTATACATTTCTTTTATAAAAACATATTTATATGCACCAAAATAAGTTTTTGTATACATTTCTTTTGTAAAAACATATTTATATATATTTTTTATAAACACCTATTTTATAATAAATGCATTCGTATACAAACACATTTATATATAAAATGTATACAAACACGTATTATATAAAAAATTATTCAAACACATTTTTATAAAAGAAATGTATACAAACACAATAACTTTCCTTCCCATAACGACTCACAACCATCACAAAACACCAACTTCAACCATTCATCTTCCCTTTCACCACCATCTCTAACTGCTTTTTTCTTTCCTATGAAATACCTAGCAACCAACATTACCCATCCCTATGATTATCTTCACCTACTCTACTAACGTCGCTGGAAAACTACGCCTTAAAACCACCAAACATCGTCTCCGACCACCAATCGCTACGTTACTTCTCACCAACATTACACATCCCTATGGTTAAGTAGATCGTGGTATTGACTGGTCATTTGGCGATGTTCTCAAACTTCGATGTTGGCTGCGATGAAGCTAATGACCGAAGAGCATTATGATGCAGATGTTTTGGTTAGAGTGATCACGGTGGCTCAAGGTATTAGGGTTGAGATAGTGTGTTATACGATTGTGAAAGGATTTATTTAATTATAGGATTTTAAATTAATAATATTTAATTGATTTTAGTTTCATGAATTAGTAGAAAGTTTTAAAGAGAACTAAATGATTATTATGTTAATTTACCTATATATCATTTTCTATTGACTGGTTAAGAATAAGTTATACAATAACACAATACTTGTTGGTTATATATATATATATATATATATATATATATATATATATATATATAATTTCCTTGGAATCATAAAGATTTTACATTTATTAAATACTTAATAAATACCTATTTTTATAAATAGATATTTCGTATACAAAACGTCTTTTAAAAAAGGTTTTTCTATAGAAAATATAAGATTTTTTTATGTGAAAATATGTTTTTTTGTATAAATATGATTTTATAAAGAAAAGATATATTCAAAATAAAATTTTGAGAAAAAAAAGTTTCAAAAAAACTAAAGTTAGGATGAATTCATAACAAAATTCTAAAATTTGGGCAAAAAGGGTAAATTTGGACACAATTTGTAATAAAATTTAAAATCTGGGCGAAAAGTGTAAATTTTGGACCAAATTTGTACTAAATTTCGAAATTTGGGCCGAAAATGTAATTTTATAAAGTTGGATTACCTGTTGACCGGGTAAAATGGTTAAATTGAATACGATTACCGGTTTTTGGGACTTAATTGAATAAAAAAAGATATAATGACTAAATCGAGAATGAGGCCAATATGTAGGACTTTATTGTAGTTTTCCCTTTTATAAAACTAAAACTGACACTATATTTTGGTTTTTAAAAAAATCAAACCCAAAACATCAATCTCTATTATGGTTTCGGTTTTTCGATTTTGCTAGTTTTTCGGTTTTTAGGTTCTGTTTGCTCAGCCCTA